AGCTCTGGGCTGGAGACGGGAGGGGGGCTCGACCCCCCCCCAAAAAAAACGCTTCCGAGGTCGCTTCTGTCCGGATTGAAGGAGCGCGGTCCGAATGGCTGCATCGGTACCGTCTCCGGTACTGAGCGAAGCCAGCCTGCGCCCGGGGTCGGCCCGGGAAATCAAGTCGCGGGAAGCGGGATCGCGGCCCCTTTGCCCGCCGCCAAGCCGGATCGAGTCAGTCTGTAAGCGGGGAGACCCGACCGAACTGCTTTACCGGGTCGCAGCCGTTCAGCGACTCGGGGCCAGTGCCAGGATCATCCTTTCACACGACCCGCACGTTTCGCTCCGACAAATCATCAACGCATCCGATTCAAAAATCAAGTTTCACGTCTGAATGCCGTTTCTAGCTTTTGGCGGCGGCGGCGGCGGCGGGGGGGGGTTCCCTCCTTAAGCTTGACGCGGCAACCAGCACCGGCCGCTGTGGCTCAGCCTAGCCTAGCCTAGCCCACCCCACAGGGTTGCAGGGGAAAAAAATAATAAAAAAAGGCATCCAAAAATCTGCAGTTTTGAATGCTAGGACAATGGCGAGTTAAATGGGGGGTGGGGGAGGACTCCTTCCCCGTCTCCCCGTGCCCCGACTTCCCCTCCCAGGCAGGCCAAGGCCACACGGTTCTCCCCTGCCCCTCCCGATGCCCGTCCACACGTGCAGGCGAGCCATTCCTCCACGTGTCGAGGCGCATCTGTCCGGCCAGCGGCCGCGTGGACAGTCCCTCCTCCCTCCTTCCCCATCTCCATTCAAAAGCAGCCGAGGGCAAAGGCGAGAGAGCGAGCGAGCGAGCGAGACTCCAGCACCGCAGCCGACGCGGGGAACCGCGGACCGGCCGCCGGGCGGAAATCCAGGCTTCCAGGTGGGCGCGTGGAGAGGGGGGGGGAATAAAGGGGAGGGGGGAAATAAGGGGATCGGGTGGGGAAGCGCCCTGGCTCCTCCCTGGCATTTAGCGCTCGCGCCACCCGCGCAGCCCCTCCAGGGCTCTCCTTTGCTCCTCCCCCTCCCTCCCCCCAAACCCCAAGGGGGGGGCAGAAGCAGCGAAGTTTCACAGCGGGAGGAGGAGGATTTATCCCGGGCGTTGCAAACTCCGGCGAGGAAGCTCAGCGCAAGGATCGCCCCTTCCCCGCTGGGGGGGGGGGGTGTCTATTAGGCTTCCTCCTCCTCCTTTCGGAACCCCGAGCCAGGGAGAAAAAAAAAACAACCCGCGAACACGGCGGCCCCCCCCCCGCCGCCTGTTCGGGAAACCGGGCACGGGGTGGGGGGTGTCCTCCTTCGCCCCTGCTTCCAACTCCCCCTCCCCACTCCAGCCCCTTTCCCGCCCTAAGGAAACTCAGCCCGGTTCTCCACCTCTCTCTGCCCCCCTCCACACGGCCCCCCCCGTTTCTTTTTTTTTCCTCCTTCATTTACTCCTCTTGATTTCGGAAGGGTCTATTGCGCGCGCGCGCACACACACGCACACACACACACACAGGGATGGGGGGAAGCTCCCGAAGTTCCGCGCCTCCCCCCCGCTCCCCCCGCCCGGAAAGAAGCAGCAAGGGGAAAAAAAACGAAAAACACCCGATCCAGCATTCGGGGGGGGGGGGGAGTCAATTGAAAGCAGCTGTTACATACCTTAAAGCCCCAAGCGAGGAATCCTGAATGGGGGGACACACCCCCCGGCGCTGATTGGCCGAGGGAGAGAGACCGTTGTGGTGGAGGCGGGGATTAAAGCTACGATTTAGGCCACGCCTCCTCTCTTCTCTCTTCCCCCCCCCGTCCCGGAAGTGGCACCCGCCGGGCTTTCTATGAAAAAAAGGCTTTCGTGGACCCTCAGCGTCTGTAAGTGTTCGGGAGTTGTAGCGGATGGGAGTCCGGGAAACGTGGGAATGGTGTTCCCGATCCGTGTTTGGCAAAAGTTAGAAAGATGGCCTGGCCCTGGGAGTGTTGAAACCGCCTTGGCACCCAGCGTCAACTTTAGAAAAAAAAAAATATTAAGTTGCCAGCTGCAGAAATTTTTGCCATGCGGGTTCCGATGGACATTTATTTATTTACTTACTTATTTATTAAGCTTCTATGCCACTGATCTCGCCCAGAGATGACTCTAAGCGGCTTGCAAGCCATAAAAGCAACAAGGTAAAATATGAAAACAATAAACAGTGATACTAAAGGTGGGGCAAGACTCTAGTAAAAAAAAAATCCTCCCTCCTTAGTTTCTCCAGCGGTAAAGAAGGGGGGAGAGCTGGATTTTAATTTCACTTTACAATTGAGTAGAATTAGCTTCTGTGGCTATGAGAGGCCAGCAGCCTGTACCTGTCCCAGACTCCCACCTGCTACAACTCCTGAATACTTGCAGATGCTGATGGTCCACTAAAGATCAGGACCACAAATGAAGGTTGCAGTTAAACTGCTTCATTGCTAAAAGCCTATGCGCAGGAATCTTCTCAACTAATGGTGAGCACCTGCTTGGAATTAGTTAATTCTGTAATAGCTTTGTACCAGGGGTAGGCAACCTTGGCTCTTTTATGACTTGTGGACTTCAACTCCCAGAATTCCTGAGCCGAATTCTGGGAGTTGAAGTCCACGAGTCATAAAAGAGCCAAGGTTGCCTACCCCTGCTTTATACCATATATAGTACCAACCTTAACTCTCAAGAGTCTTTTTCCGCTAGGTATTCTGATTGTAAAATATGTATATATATGTACATAGTACATGGTATGGGTATAGGTATACTTTTGTGAGCGGGCATCAGAATTTCATTTTTTTAATATGTGCCAGTGTGTTCACAGAAAAAGTGACAATAAAGGTTATCTTATATCTTATAAGGTGCATTCAAGACTTGGTTTGCTTAGGGCTACATAAGGATTCTAGACTGGTCCCTCTTTTGACTCCAGGCCCTGCCATCCCTTCTCCTACATCACCTTGTCCACTTTACATATCCCCTCCTCCCCGCCTCCTTGAAATAACCTCTTCCTCCCCCTTTCGGGGTTAGATCTACCTCTCTTTTCAAGGGAGGCATGTTACAAACCAGGCTGGGCGAGAGGATGGGAGAAATTCAGGAGTTGGATCTTGCTGCATTAATTCACTGATGCGTTCAGCCTCAATTTGCATGTTTAGTCACATCAGCCCCATAATGGCGAGTACTTGAACCCCAAGTTCTTAGTCGTCCCCCCTCCCCCGTGCTAAGTGTGCCAAGACTTCAATCGTTCTTCAAAAGAACCCAACCTAGAAAAACAGCTAAAATTTGAAGCATCCTGCAAGCTTGTTTCCATTCTTTTAACCTCCATCAATTGTTTTGCTACATGCCTCAAAGGCAACATCCTCGATCTTGGCAACATTTAAGATGCGTGAACTTCAACTCCCAGAATTCCTCAGCCAGCATCTAGCTAGCATGAAAGGTTCTGGAATTGGGCCAAGGGCTGTCCAGATGAGAGAGGCTACCAGTTGCTGACCTCTCCCATAAAACACTGAACTGCAGAAGTCGCGAAAGGAGCAATACTAAACTTGTGGGTTGTAGGCATATTTATTTGTGAATACCAAAAAAAAACAAAAAAAACCCCCTCCCTAAAGAAAAGACCCCATAATTCGCTGTAAAACAGCGACCAGGAACATTTACAATGATTTCCAACTTGGACGTGAGCAAGTTAAGATTAAATATAAAAACCGAAATGGGGGGAAAGAAAAAGGAGGGGGTGTAAAAAATAAGAAATATACACGTTCTAAAGATCTGATTCCAGTATAAAGTTACTCACGTGGCTTGATGGAGCCACTTTTCCTCTGCAAGCAGAGAGAGAGAGAAAGAGGGGGGACCCCTGGGCTCCGGAATACGAGACCCGTGCCATCTTGCTGCTATGGGGGCCCCACATGCTACAAGGGAGGTTATCGGGGATCCCACTTTTATACAACCTCCGCTGTCTCTTGATGCCTTAAAGTATTTTTTTTCCCCAGCTTCATCTGGAAGAAGAGCCTCCATGGAAGAGAATTGATCCAGCTTAAACCCCTGCCTCTCTCTGCCTGTGGCCCCCAATCCTGCGGGGACCCTTTTTCTGGTCCCCTATTCGTACCAGCCACTTAGCATTTCCAGCTAGGGACAAACACACAAGCCATTCGCTGCTGCCTCCTGCCTTCCTTCCGGGCTCCAGAGACCCCTTGGAGGAACCTCTCCAAAAGGGCCACAAAAGGACGGGGAAGGACGTAACCCTAACTTTGCCTTCTCCATGACAGTTTGGGGGCCCCTCTCCCAATTTCTGCACCAAAGCTGCCCTCTTAGGGATCTGTGCCCCTGTTCAAGGCGTGTGGGCGAAAGCTCCTTCTCAACATGCGTGGTTGACCCAAGGAGGGGGCAGAGATGGGTGGTGGGTGGGAGATAGACAGAGCCATTAACTTTGGCAGTAGCGCTGGGCCTTGGAATGAGGCTATGCTGAATCTTGGCTAGAAGCAGCTACACCTATATAACTGGGCATCCTGGTTAGATCCCCGGGCAGGAGAAGGAGGTTACATGGACAACACACAGGCAGGCCTAGCGGTCGTTAAGACTGAAGCATTGGGTGGCTCTTCCAAGCCGGCCTCTTGAAGGACAGGCCCATGGAGAAGAGTCAAGGTCTTCAGTTCATGGACTCAATGCAGCCCGTAGGCTTGCTTCATTCGTTGCTTTGTGTTTTTGTTTTTCAATAAGGCACAGGTCAGTCAAGGCAGTGGGTGCAAGAGATCCCTTGTCCGTGGCTACTGGTCATGGCTCCTTGTGGCCAAATAGTCCAAGAAAAATGGCCTCCAGCTTTGGTAGTGAAGAATGGACTTGCCACTGGCCAGGTCCAGCTGGAAGCTCCAGCCAAACCCAGTTGTTGAGCAGGAGGAGGGAGAGAAGGAAGGAAGTTGAGAAAAGGAGAAAAAGAAAAGAGAAGGAAGGAAGGAAGATGAGAAAGGGAGAAGGAAGGAAGGAAGGAAGGAAGGAAGATGAGGAAGGAAGGGAGGAAGGAATCTGACAGCGTAGTAGTTCCTGCTGTGGCTGAGGCCTGGGTGAGCTTCCAGATCTTCTAATCTAGACCTTGGGATTAGCTCTTCTCTGGACCCATCCTGGGATGGGAGTAGGGCAGGAGGTTTTCCCTGTACGCGTGCTCAAGGATGGCCAAGTAGCAGAAGTAATACTGCTCAGGGGTCTGGATGCTGAAGGCGCGCTGGGTCCTCATCCGCACCACCGTCTGGTAAATGTTGAGAGTACCCACATCTTGCAGTTGTGACAGACAAATATCCAGTGCGCAGAAAGTACCTGGAGAAAGGACAGGGGGGAAGGGACAGGTCACCCATCGGCGCCACCCTCTGAAACAATATAGAACATCAACTTCTTTGAGTCGGCTTTTGGGTGAAAATATAGGGGTTCCAGGTCCTGTAATCCCCAACCTGCAGGGCCTGGTGTGTATGTGTGTATGTTGAAGTTTGATACAGGGCAGGGCAACAGGTTGGAGAAGATCGCTTCTCTGCATCCCAAAAATATTTAAGGGAGGAGAAAATGACCATCTCTATTCCCAGTTTTACAAGTGGGAAGTCTTCTCCAGTGTGGACCACCAGCAGATGTGTGAACTTCAACTCCCAGGCTCCTAGGCTCTGGCTTTGCTACTTGGGGCATGCTGGGAGGCAGAGGGTAGCCCCATGGGAGAAAGCTTCTGAAGTTTTGGGAAATCGAACCCTCCACTCAAGATCCCGGTCAGTTACCTGTCCTCCCAATACCGGCACTGCAGTGTACCACAATGGGTGGCCCGCCTGGATGACCTTTGTAACGTGGTCCCAGGGCACTGACGGCCACCCTCTGTTGCTGCTTGACGGCTCCCAGGAAGTCGATGAGCGTGGCTGCTGAGGAAGGGACCCCGTAGTCGGGCCAGCTCACGTACTGGAAATGGGTCACACGGCGTCTCTCTCGGTTCTGTAGGTAGGTGAAAAGGGGGAGGGGTAGAGAGAGTTGACCCCAAGTTTCAGATTACCCCTTTTGTGCCTCTGTTGGGTTGTCTTCTACTTTGGGAGTTTATGACCCCTATGGCACTCTTTAGATCAATGTTTCTCAACTTCGGTAGGTTGAAGATGAGTGGACTTCAACTCCTATGGCCGGCTGGGAATTCTGGGAGTTGAAGTCCATTCATTTTCAATCTACCACAGTTGAGAAACACTTGTTATGGAGCCAAACCAATGGAGAATTAGGGAGTTTATGACCAGAAATCAGGAGACACCAAGATTGTTTCTGTTGCAGAAATCTGTTAAGATAATCTTGTGTAGTCCAATTCTCCATCCAGGAAGTACCAGCTAAAGAGAGTTGAAAGGAGGAGGAGAAGGAGGAGGAGGAGGAGGATAGGTTGTGAGCAACAACAGAGCGGAACTGCTGCGAAAGGGAAGAGCAATATGACACCCCATGGCCCATTGATGAAGGGTTTGTGCAATTACCTCACAGCTGAACATCTCCAGGAGTGTCTTCTTGTAATGGCTGAGGTTCTCTGTTCCAAGGTTGGTAACCGTTAAGGTTCCATAACCGATCTGAAAGTCCTTCTCCAGTGGCCAGTATTGACCGCACTTCCTTTTGCCTCCTTCTTCAATCCTGTCATGCAAAGAAGAAAGGAAGAATATGGAATGTCGGCATGCCTGGAAGGTGTCAGCTTGGAGCCCAACAGAAGCACAAAGACACATCTTTGGAAGGAACCACAATTGGCTCAGTTAGCATAAGGCATCAAGTCAAAAGCAGAAGAATCTTGGTTTTGACTTGATGTCACAAGTCGAGAGCACCCTCAGAAGAGCATCTTTCCAAATGGGCAATCCACCCTCTCTGCTAAAACCCAACAAAGTTACCCATGCTCATTTACTGTTTCATGCATCGCTAGGTTACCTTGTGGTCATCACGATCACCAGTACATTCTGTTCCCACACCATGCGCCAGAAGTCGTTGTATGTGTTTTCTAATGGCCCTAGAATGAAACAAGGAATTCTTAAGATGATGCTAGAAGCCTATTATTACAGGTAATCCTTGCTTACCAACTGCTTTGTTCAGTGACCAAAGTCATGAAGGTGCTGAAAAAAAAAACCTTTACGACCAATGCCCACATTTATGACCTCCGCAGCATCAGTCATGTAATCACCATTACATCAGCACATGTTTGTATGCTAACCCATTACCTCCCTCTTTTACAAAGTGGAAATATTGGAGAGAAAAGGATTACAAGAGAATAAACAAGTGGTGAAACGTGCCGATAGCAAATCATTGGTTTGCTTTAATGACCATTACTAAAAAGGTCATAAAATTGGGTCGGTCATGTGACCAACCTTTCTTAGGCCATTATGACATACAACATATTGGGCAGATTCCATTATGGTAGTATGCCGAGATCTATCTGTTCTGGACAGGATCAAAATTTAACAATTCGATGTGGTTGCTTCTAGCTGGGCTTTTCTGGAGCACCTGTTGAGCAAGGTGAGAAGAGGGAGCTGTGATTTGACAGACTCCAGACCTTGAATGCAGATGTTGCTCCCTTTTCTCAATAGTTTCTAAAGAACCAGATGTTGCTTTCAAGATCTGGGATCATAAATACCTTGAGTGCCGATATAAGCATTCCTTTGCTTGTACCCATCCATGAAACTGGCATTGATGTAGTCAGTCATCTATGGAAACAATTGCATTTGTCAATCCTTTTGGACCAATTACAGAAGCTACATTTGAGGAGCGAGCAAAGGTAGATGTGGAAGGATGTTTCTTATACTAAAATTTACTCCCTGGTCCTTAACAAAAGGCTCATGAAAGCATCGTTCTGTAATCTAACTTTCTTCTTTAATCTGATATTCTTCCTTGCAACTTAGAGCACCTTCCTTAAGTTCTCAAGCAAAAGAGAACTTACCACCCCCCTTTTGCTTTTCTATTTTCTACTCTAAGTAGGGCAAGAGTCAGAGAATTATTTTCTTCAGCCCCCCCCCCAAAAAAAAAAATTTGGAACAGAATTTTTAACATTTTATCTGCATAAGCCATGTCCTGTAATTAAACAAGAGCATACCCCCATTCTATTAAACTTCACAAATTACTTCCGCAGAACAATATGTTTAATATCGGGCAACTTCATTACATGTTTAAAATGGAGGTCTCCCTTAGCATAGGGATGTCAGTGGAGCAGAAAATATGGAGAATCAGAGCTTTGTATCATCTGTCATAACTGGAAGTTTTATATCTAGTATAGTAGAGTTAATTTAACAGAATGGATTTCTGTTTATCCCAAATATCTTTTCAATCCAAATTTTATTCAGCTGAAGTATAGGCCATCTTTCCCCTAGGCAGTATATCAATGCCCCCCCCCCTCCAATTTCCCCCCACAATTTTCCCTGGCAGGTAGTACGACCACCGTAAAGGTTCTGTTTCAAATCTGCTTCAATTCTGCAGCCAGAAATTCTTTGCTATGATTTGGGGGGTTCGGTTCCTTGAAATGCTATCAGCTTCACTTACCTCCTGATAGTTGAACTGTTTGGACAATTTCACCCTGGTTTGATCAAGGCAGGGAACATCCCCGTATCGGTTTTTCTCCTGGTTCAAAGGCGCTCTGGGAAAGAGGGCAGAAAAAGACAGAGGCATGAACAAGGAAAGACCAGGAATGGCTCCCAGCAATGGGAGGCTAGTAGCAAAGAAGTCAAAATTTCTGTGCGGAAACAGGGCAATAAAAAATGGGGTTCACCAGCAAGGATGCAAAAGAGATGAAGTCCACCCATCTTCTCAACCAAAGTTGAGAAACACAGTGACTCAAAATAAAGGAGAACAATGGAACTCCATGGGGTGAGGGGTAGATCCTCCTTCCTCCAGGTTTGGTTCTCCTTAGATGGGGCTTCAGATGGGGTCTCTCCTGCCCCCCAGAATGGTTGCTGGAATTGGGTATGTCAAGTCTAATGAAGAGAAGGGTGGCATGATAGCAGTGTTCCAATATCTAAGGGGTTGCCATAAAGAAGAGGAGGTCAACCTGTTCTCCAAAGCACCTGAAGGCAGGACAAGAAAGAATGGATGGAAAATAAGGAGAGAAACAACCTGGAACTAAGGAGAAACTCCCTAACAGTGAGGACAACCAGCAGAACAGCTTGCCACCAGATGTTGTGGGTGCTCCAACACTAGAAGTTTTTAAGAAGAGACTGGATAGCCATTTGTCTGAAATGGTATAGGGTCTCCTACTTAAGCAGGGGGTTGGACTAGAAGATCTCCAAGGTCCCTTCCAACTCTGTCATTCTCCAACCTCAGACCCTCCCACCATCTGGATACTTACAGAGAACACCCAAAAGTGCCCGTCGGGCTTCGGTGCCGAATGCCTTCATATTCCTCATAAATTCCTCGCTTCTGCTTCTGGTTGACGTGCTCCAGAAGTTCCTGCAGAGTCATGGACTTGGGCCCGGGGATGTGGACGGAACCGTTGTCCCGAGGCGGAGCCAGGGGGACCAGGATCAGCTCGTCCAGGGGGTCCGGGTGCCCATTCTGCTGCGGGAGGAATCTGCAGTTCCAGCTGAGGGGGTCCAGCTTGAGAGACCCTCCCAAATACTCGGGGAGGCACTCGTGGGGCAGGTGCTGCCTGAGCTCTGACATTTTCACCATCTGGACCTAGAAAGAGGAAGGGGCACATTGTGGTGCTAAACAAAACAGCCTCACAAACGTTTATTCCCTGCTTTTTAGTAATGAAGGTTCCTCATATTGAATGCACAGCCATTTAGGTTGGCTTGCGCTGAATTCCTGATCTATTTATTGGATTTTTTTTTAAAAAATCCCGCTTTTATTTTATAAGTAACTCAAGGTGATGAACATACGTAATATCCATGCTCTTACTATTCCCCCCACAATCACCACCGTGTGAAGCGGGTTGGGCTGAGAGAGAGGGACTGGCCCAAAGTCCCCCACCTGGCTTTCACGCCTAAGGCAGAACTAGAACTCGCTGTCTGCTGGTGATTGGCCCAAAGCCACCCATCTGGCTTTCATTCATAGGATGGGACTAGAACTCCCCATCTCCTGGTGATTGGCCCAAAGTCACCCAGCTGGCTTTCATGCCTAAGGCGGGACTAGAACTCCCCATCCCAAGATTTCGGCTTATTTGAAGAACTATTCGAATGAACAATTTTTATCAATATGGAGAAGATGGATTGTTTATATTCAAAAGAAGCATAGAGTGGTAGAATATAACTTAGGTTTTTAGATTTTCTTACTTTGTTTACTCTTTCTATCTTTTCATGTAGATTAAGACATTTTGTGGAGTTAGAGATATTAGTATTTGTTTACTTATATATGAATATTATCCGGGGACTAGGTTTGGGAAGTCCGGGGGTGTGTGTGTGGGATTTTATTTTTTATTCTGTTTATTGGATTATGATTGTTTTTTATGATGAAAATAATAAAAAAATTTGGAAAAAAAAAAAGAACTCCCCATCCCCTGGTGATTGGCCCAAAATCACCCAGCCAGTTTTCATGGCTAAGGCAGGACTAGAATTCACCATCTCTTGGTGATTGGCCCAAAGTCATCCAGCTGGCTTTCCTGCCAAAGGTGGGACTAGAACTCACAGCCTCCTGGTTTCTAACCCAGCACCTGAACCATTATATCAAACTGGCTCTCATTTGTCGATTTTAATACCAATTTCTCCAGCTCGTAGCACGTTATGTGTTTTCATTGCGCTCAGCCTAAATGTCTAAAGTGAGCATGTGAACGTGGCAGCTTCTCCCTCTCAGCATGCTGAAGCCTCCTGAGATCCTTCCTGGTGCAACTCACCCTTTCTCGCAGTTTCTCTTTAAGCAACAAGCTGATGATGGAATAAGGAACTCGGAACCACATCGGGGCGCCTACGATGAAGACCTTTTTCAGGCGCGCTGGAAAGGCTCCCTGTAAACCAAGGAGATATTAAAAAAATTATTCTATTTTTAAAACAAAGAACAAAAAACCCCAGCATTTTTGAAAAAGAAAAAGCAGACCAGGAAGCAAGGCCAGAAAAATAAAATGCGGGCAATTTTCAAGCCTCATAGGATTAGGGGCATATTTTATATTTGCCAATACTATAGAAATATCACATTGTTTTTTGAAACCACAGATTGTTGTCAATGCATTCAGGCAAGAAAGCAAAGCAATAATCAGCACAGGATAAATCATGGAACGAGAAGAGGAATTGCAGGGGGACGATCAATCCTCATCAAATGGATCCACATTTTGAATGTGGAATAAGGGAGATTTGGTACTTATTGGGCATCTGTATTAATCAATGGGTCAAAGGTCAATTATTAGTGGGGGAAGGGACTTCCTTTTAATATTCCTTGCATTTTTCTTCACTTTCTTCCCTCCTTTAACTGTTCTTGTATTCTGTGTCATTCACAGCTGGACTATGGCCTGTGCTAAATTACAAGACTACAGCCCTCATCATCCCCACTCAACCCAGCCAAGCAATGATACCATCTATAGTACGGCATTTATTTACCTGAGCAGGTAAGGAGCACCTGGCTAAGCATAGTTGGGAGAGAGGATAAGAGGCCACCAGAAGAATCCCAGTCTTGGGAGCTGAGTTCAACCCAAAAGGGGATTTTGCCTGCATTTTCTCCCTCTGGCCAGTAGGGGGGGACCCAAGTACATTGAAAAGAAAGCAGAAATTCAGAAACTAAAATGTTTGAAAACCAATTTAGAAGACGGATTTATTTTGCAGGCTTTCCTTTCCAGGCAAGTAAACTCGAGACCCATCTCAGCTAGTGAATGCTAATCCGCTAATTTTTCCTACAACCTGAAGTTTTGTTGACAAAAACCTCCCCATCAAAGTTCAGTTTTTGGCACTATCCATGCGTATAATCAGAGATTTTTAGAGCAAGTTTGGGTTAGAGACCACTAATGACTGCAATCTTTCTTTTTCTTTCTTTCTTTCTTTCTTTCTTTTTCTTTCTTTTTTTCTTTCTCTTCCATCCACCCACCATCTATCTATCTATCTATCTATCTATCTATCTATCTATCTATCTATCTATCTATCTATCTATCTATCTATCTATCTATCTATCTATCTATCTATCTATCTATCTATCTATCTATCTATCTATCTATCTACTTTTTTGTAACCTCCCCTAACTTAGAAACATTCTGTGCACAATTTTGGGATACTGAATTTATTTATTTATATCCTGCCTTTATCATTTGTACAAACAACTCAAGGCAGTGAGAGCACATCCAACACACACCCTCCTCCTCCTCTTTTCCCTGCAACAACAACCCTGCGGGGTGGGCTGGGCTTAGAGAGAGGGACTGGCCCAAAGTCACCCAGCCGGCTGTTTTGCTCCCATGGAAAGCTAATCCTTTTTCCAACTCTAGCAGTTCCTTGTCAGGATCAAGAAAGAAGAACTGGGAACCACAATGCTACAGGAAGTAAAATGTTTATCTGTAACGGTCCAACTGGTTTCAAAAGGCAGATCTGAGTAAATTCTGGCTAAGACCGGCACAGGAGAGGTTACTTTTCACGGCCCCAAATAATAACATAGTGGGAATTTTGGCATTAAGCTGGGAAATTTCTACTTGGTATACAGTGGAATGAACAGACTACGATACAGTAGTTGCATTTCACGGCCACAAGTAACAACATTGTGGAGTTCTTGGCATCCAGTTCAAAATGTATATTTCTTTACTTTATATCAAGAAATGTATTATTTCCTTTATCTCTAGAAGTGGGACAAAATACCCCCACCCAATTGCGACTGCGGGGCCGAAAAACAACCTAGACTGACAGCGTGCCAAAACAGAGCCTATAATGGAGACTTTGCTGATTTTTCTGACTGTGACATACAAAGCAAAAATGTCTGTCTGTAATCTAGACATAGGTTTATCATATTTTCGATGTGCTGTTTTATATGTTGTATTTTTATCTCGTGTTTTTATCGAAATGTGATGTGCCCAATGCTAAATAAATATATATATATTTTAATATCTGTTTTGCTTGCTATCTCCTACTAAGGTTATATACTAAGCATTAATTGTATAACTTCAGTAACTGCCATTTGTGGGTATTATCTTTTTTTTGGGGGGGAAACACACTGTTACTTTCAATAAAATTAGAAAGGGGAAAGAGTTGGAGGTCAAGAATAATTCTGGGCCATGGGAAGCCTTTATCTATGGTAACCCAATAGACAACTATGGTTGAAATTAGCTGCAGCCCATAGAGCTCCAGATTTAATTCTTCTAACCTCAGCTCAGTTGTTTGGAGAGTCAGTTTTCCTCGTGATGGTCCTTCAGAGAAGCTCTCCACGCTCTGGGTCAACCGACTGGCTGAGGACTTTAACCAGATGACCATATTTGAGGATCTCAAATATTTGCACTTGGCTGACATTTTTCTAAAAGGGCACTTTAATACAGGAAAATGGTTGTTTTTAACTTTTCTGGGAAATGACCCCGAATTCTTCATCCGTGGCTTGAGGAGACCGCAGGCTGATGGACAGAGAAGAGTGTCGCCTGCGGTCAACACATCAGAGGTCATAGCCTAGCTGGCTGGATCAAAGGCTCGTGGTTTAGATTTGATTCATTAATGAAACAGCCTTGCGTGGGGCGATTAAGGGTTTTAGTTACACTGGATCAACCAGCTGGAAACAAAAGCCTTGCTTCCACGGAAGACCTGGAGTTTGGGAGGACCATCCAAGGCTATTGCTTGGATAATATCTTGGGGGTTTGGAATGGGTGGAAAGCCAAAACAGCCTCTTTAGACTCGGCTAGGTCGTTACCATCTTCAAAGTACAGGTAGTCCTGACTATACGGCCATATCTGGGACCATTTGTCATTAAGCGAGACATCACATGACACACCTCCCCCCGCTGCCTGATTTCACCACCTTTTTGCTGCAAATGTTCAGCAACTCCAATCACAGGGAAGGCCTCAAATCACTACCCTGTGATGTCTCACTTAATGACCAATAATGATCATGCTTAGTCTGACGATGCACTAGCCCTGATGATGTTACCTAGCTGGGTCATGAAACGTCTGCAAGAAAACCACCAAGTTCAGAGAGCACCAAGGACCCCACATTCTTCCTCCTCCTCTTTCTCTTTCTCCTCCTCCACCTCCTCTTCCTCCTCCTCTCCACAAACCTCACTCCCTTCTAGCACTGATGATGTTACCTAGTTGGGTAATGAAACATTTGCAAGAAAACCTCCAAGCTCAGAGAGCACCAAGGAGACCACATTCTTCCTCTTCCTCTTCCTCCTCCTCCACTCTGCAAATCCCACTCCCTTCTAGCACGGATGATGTTACCTAGCTGGGTCATGAAACGTCTGCAAGAAAACAACCAAGCGCAGAGAGCACCAAGGACCCCACAATCCTCCTCCTCCTCTCCAAAACCCCCACTCCTTACTAGCACTGATGATATTACCTAACTTGGGACATGAAACATCTGCAAGAAAACTACCAAGCTCAGAAAGCACCAAGGACCCAACAGTCTTCCTCCTCCTCTTCCTTTCTTCCTCTTCTTCTCCTTCTCCTCCTCCTCTCCAAAACCCCCACTCCTTAGTAGCAGTGATGATGCTACCTAGCTGGGTCATGAAACATCTGCAAGGAAACCACCCAGCTCAGAAGGCACCAAGAACCCAACAGTCTTCCTCCTCCTCCACCTCCTCCACCTCCTCTTCCTCCTCCTCTCCAAAACCCCCACTCCTTACTAGCAGTGATGATGCTACCTAGTTGGGTCATGAAACATCTGCAAGGAAACCACCCAGCTCAGAGGGCACCTGGGACTCCCTGAACTACCAATGTTCTCCTTGATTGAGACTTTATTGAGAAGGCCTTCAAGAACCTTCATGCTTGCTCTCCGTAAACACATCAGGAGTGGCAAAGGATTCAACACCCATGACGGCTTCCACGTCATGCTTCTAATCAAATTCCTAGCTATGACCCAAGACCGTTTCCATGCCAAACAATTCCATCTGGGATCTTTTTTGGGGGGGCGGGAAGTATCTCTCCGGACAGGGATTGTTTGCCCTTTCTAAAAAGCAGATGGCTCCACTTACAGGCTTCTCTCCTCAATGCTCTGGAACACAAGACTGTTTCTTAAAAAAAAGAAAAAGATCAAAGCAACTGAGCTTGGGACCTTGATGAAGTTAGACAGCGCACGAGGAGGGAAGCCAAACATCTGAAGTTTTCCTTGCAGAACCTCAATTTGGGATTGTAGTCCCAGGGGAGTCTGGGGTCAGTTTGGGCCACGGCGGCTTTCTCATTACCTTCAGCAAGTTCAAGATCTTCTTGCTCAGATCCAGCTCAAAGTTGGAATAGTGAGAGTCCGCCATGTCGTAGATAAACACCAGGCCGTTCCGCTGAGTTTCAAAGCTGGTGATTGGAAGGAAAATAATTGTTTTAGAGCAGTGTTTCTCAACCTTGACAATTTTAAGGCATGTGGACTTCAACTCCCAGAATTCCACAGCCAGCATTGCTGGCTGTGGAATTCTGGGAGTTGAAGTCCACATGCCTTAAAATTGTCAAGGTTGAGAAACACTGTTTTAGAGTCACACGCAAAGTTGCTGGGCTCACACACCTCCCTCCCACAAGGATCCATCCGGACAGGGAGATGAGGCTCGCACCCACAAACCCAGGCCAAGTTAAACTAAACGGTGATTTATCGTTTCCTCAAATCTATTCCAGGACACGACAAGCCAGCATTCTTGGCTTAAAAGGTAGTGTGGAGTTTGAGGTTCATAATGCAAATTTGGAGACATGGGAAGATGCCATGTTTCGCTCTGGCTACACGTTTGTATTTTTATACAGCCGTGAGCATCTCCAAAACCCTCCCTTTGCTTTTCAATTAATTTTTAACCACGTTTTAACCATCCTTGACTCTTTTTTTTATTTTTTTTTAAGTTTTCTGCACTGTTTGTTTATATTTTGATATTTTATTGTACGCTGCTCAGAGTCCCTCTGTGAGGGAGGCGGGTGGTTCAAAAAAAATGTGAAAAATAAATAAATAAAAAAAACGAACCCAAACGTTGGCACTTTCAAACCGGGGAACGAAGACATCCAGAGTACAGGCTGTCCTCGACTTACAACAGTTCATTTAGTGACTGTTTGAAGTTACAATGGCACTGAAAAAAGGTCACTGAGGACCGTTTTTCACACTGACAACCATTGCATCATCCTCGTGGTCACATGGCTTATATTCAAATGCCTGGCAACTGACTCACATTTGTGACGGCTGCAGCGTCCCAATGGGTCACGTGATCCCCTTTTGCGACCTTCGGTCAAGCAAAGTCAATGGGGAAGCCAGATTCACTTAAGCAGCCGTGTTACTAATTTAACAACTGCAGAGATTCACTTAACAAACGTGGTGAGAAAAGTCGTAAAATGGGGGCGAAGCTCACTTTACAAATTTCTTACTTAGCAATGTAAATTTTGGGCTTATTTGTGGTCATACATCAAGGACAATTTGTATATACTCTCCTGCTTGAGCAGGGGATTGGACTAGATCAGACATGTCAAACACAAGGCCCGGGGGCCGGATGCGGCCCGCGAAGTGGTTTCATGTGGCCCATGAAGCCATCCTGGAAACAGTGAGGGAACGGCCCCCGCTGCCTTGGCCCTGGCCCAGCCCGGCCGGGACCCAATGTACAATTTTGTGGTGGCCATCTATGCTGAAACGCATTCAGTCTTAGCTCCACAAGGCCGTCTGGAACCAGCGAGGAACCAGCCCCTGCTGTGTCGGCCCCACCCCCTGGGTGCATGCTGGGGAGGGGTCACCCTTTGTGAGGAATGAAGAAATGGACCATGCCTTGGCCCTTGCCCCGGTCCCACCCCCTTCTGCCAGAGACCCTCAGATCTGTCCCACTCGCGCCCAGGCCCCCACAGGCACCCTTGACGCGAACGATGTAGAGCTGGCCACGCCCACCCAGTAGACCACACCCACTCCATCCATGCCCACCCAGTAGGCCGCACCCCCCGAGGGCAACCGCAATGCTGATGCGGCCCTCAATGAAATTGAGTTTGACACCCCTGGACTAGATGATCTACAAGGTCCCTTCCAACTCTGCTATTCTATTCTATTCTATTCTATTCTATTCTATTCTATTCTATTCTATTCTATTCTATTCTATTCCATCCCACTACTCTATTATTCTATTCTATTCTGCATTCTATTCTATTCTGCATTCTATTCTATTCTATATTCCAATATCTATTCTATTCTATATTCTATTCTATTCTATTCCTCTACCCTATTCTACTCTGTTCTATTCTATTCTACTCTACTATACTCTATTCTGCATTCTATTCTATTCTGCATTCTCTATTCTATTCTATTCTATTCTATTCTATTCTATTCTATTCTATTCTATTCTATTCTATTCTTCTATCCCATTCCATTCCATTCCTTCCCTCTACTCTATTATTCTATTCTATTCTATTCTATTTTGCATTCTATTCTATTCTATATTCTATTCTATTCTATTCTATTCTATTCTATTCTATTCTATTCTATTCTATTCTATATTCTATTCTATTCTATTCTATTCTATTCTATTCTGCATTCTATTCTATTCTGCATTCTGCTCTATTCTATTCTGCATTCTATTCTATTCTAATTCTTCTACGTCTTAATAGATTTGCAACTTTGGTGATCAGCCCTAAAAGCAAGCAATGCTTTCAGTGAATGGAAAACCTAATCTTGAGGGTGTTTCGCACGGGGAGAAGTAGGAAGTGATTATAAATTTCTCCAGGCTCTTGAAACAGCAGAAAAGCCAAAGCCAGGCGCCTCGCTGGACTGCAAACTGCCCTCCTTACCTTTCCACTGCCCTGTCCAGCAGGTAGAAGAGGGCCTGAAGTACCACGTGTTGGACACTTTTATTGGGGTGGTGCAACTTAGCGGTGAAGAGGGCAATCGAGGCTCCGGAAGGATCCCGCACACTCTGCAAAAAAAGCCGGTGAAGACAATCAGCATGGTGGCCAAACGGGCTTTGAATGACCCTTTGCAAAACCGGGGGGGGGGGGGGATTGTAACACTTTGCAAGCAGCCAAGAAACTGGGTTTGTCCATAGCGAAGGGCAATAGAGACTGAGTGATCCAGCAGCACAAATATTTTGGAAAACATTCATGGCTTGTAACATTCAAGGCTTTGGGGGCAGGGGGATTTCTCCCATCGCCCACAACTTCCTGGCTGCAACTTTTTTCTGCGTCCTGGCTTCACACATTCCCAGGGAGCAAAACGTACCAGGATGGTGAATTTTCCACTCAGGAGTTCTGACCTCAGCGGCTCCTCGTGAGGTTTCAGCTTCACGATGCCTTCCTTGAACCTCGTTTCCTAAAGGGGAGGGAAGAAGATCAATCAAGCAATCAGAATAGAGCTGGAGGGCACCTTGGAGGTCTTCTAGTCCAACCCCCTGCTCAAGGAAGAGATCCTATACAATTTGAGACAGGTGGCTGTCCAGTCTCTTCTTAAAAACCTCCAGTGATGAAGCACCCACAACTTCTGGTGGCAAGCCGTTCCACTGGTTAATTGTTCTCACTGTTAGGAAATTTCTCTTTAGTTCTAGATTGGGTGTCTCCTTGGTCAGTTTCCATCCGTTGCTTCTTCTCCTGCCTTCAGGTGCTTTGGAGAACAAGTTGAGCCACCTCTTCTTCGTGACAGCCCCTCTAATATTGGAAGACTGCTATCATGTCACCCCGAGTCCTTTCCCCCCCCCCATTAAATTAGAGAGACTCAATTCCAGCAACCATTCTGGGAAACGGTTATATCTCAGCAAAGGGGAAAGAGGCAATTCCTGGGTCCAGCTTAAGCCTATGGAAATCCAGCCATGGAAGTCCCCAAGCCCACCCACCCACCCAGACAAGCCCCGGCATGGCCCAAGCACTAACCCTGTAGGAGTGGAAGAGTTCAATCGCTCGGAGAACATCAAATTTCCTGGCCATGAGGAATTTGACGGCCACGTTCCAGGAAAGAGGCGAGACATTGTACTGGATGGTCCACTTGTTGATCTCTTCGAGGAACTGCTTGGTGGCCTTCACCCCCACGGAGGAACGCAGGAGGGAGGGAGGGAGG